GGTGAGGAGGCTTGGCTATGAAAGGATACTGGTAACGTTTGGAGATGAAAGTATTAATGAGAATGGTGAAAGCTTCCTCACCGTATGTGTGGAAAGGAATCGTTTTGTGACTAACACTTTCTTTCATCATAAGAAGATTCACATGTATACTTGGGAAAGAGGTGATGATAGAAGCATGATAGATTTCATAACTGTGGATGAAAGAATGAGGAGCGCAGTGGTGGATACAAGGGTTTACCGGGGGTCCAACGTAGGGACGGATCACTACCTGGTCTTATGCCGAATTAGGGGTTTATTCAGACGTTGGCGGCATCGGACATCTGTGTCTACCACTGCATTACAGCGTATAAGAATTGACAGGATACAAGATGAAGATGTGAAAGACAAGTACAAATGTAGACTGAGAGAAAATATAAGTGATTTGGATGAGTTGTGTGTGAATGAGTTAGACTTGGAGAATGTGTGGCATAATGTTAAGAAAGGTTTAGTGGTTGCAGCTACTGAAGTATGTGGTGTTAGTAAGAGAACGAATGAAAGGAAAGACAATACGTTATGGTGAGATGATGAGGTACGTATGGAAGTTGAAGCAAAAAAGAGAGCATGGCTAGATTTACTAGCAACCAAAGCTGGTAATTCTGGCATACCGGTATTGCAATGATGAGATTGAAAGAAAAAAGGCAGACTTTAGACGTCTTAATAAGAGAGTAAAAGAATTAGTTGAAAGGAAAATGCAAGAAAGAACGGATAAGAATGATAGAAGAATATCGAATAACTTCCAGGCAAATATTAAAATGTTCTGGAAACTCGTAAGAAACACCAGGGGACATTCAAAAGAGCCTAGATTGAATGCGATACGAGACGAGAATGGCTGTATTCTGAATGATGAAGTGTTGAGTCTAAAGGGATGGAAGGAATATTTTGAAAGTGTATTTGTGAGTGAGGAGACGTGTGAACTAAATGAAATAGAAAATCCGAAAGAAGATGAAAGAGATAGGGAGATAAGTATAGATGAAATAATGAAAAGCATGAAAGTAGGTAAGGCTGCCAGATATGATAGAGTTTCACTCGAAATGCTAAGGGCTGGAGAGGAAATGGTGGCAGATCTGCTGTACACCTTGTTTAATTTGTGTTGGGAACTGGAGCGGGTACCGGAAGACTGGTGAAAAGCGTGATAGTCCCAATATATAAGGGAAAAGGGTCGCAGTAGGACTACTAAAACGACCTCTAAATCGGCCTTCTTAGCATTGTGGGAAAACTGTATGCTAAGGTACTAATTGAAAGAGTTATGAAAGAAATGGATGGAAAAATTTGGGATGTGCAAGCGGGATTTAGAAAGGGAATGGGGTGTACAGATCAAGTCTTTTCCATGCACATGACTGCGGAGAAGTTTTTGGCGAAAAATCAAAAAGTTTTTTGTGCCTTCATGGACTTGGAAAAGGCTTATAATAGAGTGGACAGGGATGTGTTATGGTAAACGCTGAACTCATTTAGGTTGAGCGGAGGGTTGATACAGCCGTTAAAGTCTCTGTATAGGGACTCGAGTGCTTGTTTTAGGATCAACGGGACCTACTCGGACTGGTTTGGCATCCATAAAGGTGTCAGACAGGGCTGTGTAGCTTCCCCGTGGCTGTTCAATCTATTTATGGACAGTTGTTTGGAAAATTTGAATGTTGAAGAATGCGGGTTAAGAATGGGTGAATTAACCATCAAATGCCTTTTGTACGCCGATGATCATATCAATCAAGTCATACTTGCGTCGTCGGCGGCCGAGTTACAAATGATGGTTACATTTGTAGTGTGTGTAGTGTATGCTCATGTAGCTATATTTATGATAGCCTAATAAATTTCTCCGGACGCCCGCCTCCCGACTACACATTAATGAACAGGTCATTAAAAGAAAGGGGAATGAATGTGAACTCAAGTAAGACGAAAGTGATGGTTTTTGAAAGATAAGAAAGCAAAACGGTATCTGAAATAAGAATAGAAGGAGAGTTAATTGAGCAAATGGATGAGTTCGTATATTTGGGATGTGTATTCAGCAGGGACGGAAGATATGATAAGGATATTGAACAACAAGTGAATGCAGGAAATAAAGTAAATGGGGCTCTACACTCTATTGTGAAAAGTCAGAATGTGTCAAAAAAGGCACGTATAGTAATTCACAACGCTGTATTAGTCCCTACTTTAACGTATGGTAGTGAAAGTTGGGTGTGGCAGAAGAAGCACGAGAGTAGAATAAATGCAGTAGAAATGCGGTCGCTAAGGAGTATGTTAGGGCTGAATCTGAGTGACAGGGTGAGAAACTGTGTGATATAAGAAGAGTGTGGTTTGCAAGATGATGCGGTGAATAGGATTAAGAAAGGAATGCTTCGGTGGTTTGGTGATGTAGAAAGAATGAATGAGGAAAGACTGACAAAGCAAATATATGTTGCAGAAGTGAATGGAAGAGTCGGAAAGGTACGTCCTAGGCGAAAGTTTGTCGACCAAATTGGCGATATATTAAAAATGGGCCAAATTAAGAGTACCCTTAACCGACGAGCATGTATGCGTAGGTATATGGATGTGGAAGAGGCGAGAGAGGTATGTCAGGATCGTGCTAAATGGAAGTCTGTAGTCTCTGCCTACCCCTCTGGGTGACAGGCGTGAGTGTTTATGTATTATAAGTTATACATTACAACTTATTACAATAGGACAAAAAATGGAGTCGACCTTGTGGCTAAAATGTGTTCATTGTATGACGTTTTGAGAAACCAGAAGATGGCATTTTACGGTTTTCTATGACATGCTAAATTTGAGTGCAGTTAACGCGTTGTGCATATTATATACAGCAAACAAACACTATGAGAGTATTTGCCGACGTGACTTCTTGATTGATTTGTCTCTGGCGTGGATGAAACCTCTGGCTCATAAGAGAATTGAAAAAAAAATGGTTACCAAGAACTCTAACAATCAAGATTTTCTTGGCTTTATATACCCATAAACCCAACCAACTACCTCAACAGCGACATCGAGTAATGTTGTGCGCCGTTGCCATGACTGTGGAAGAGAGCGCAGTAAAAGCACCAGAAAGAAGTGCTCAGCGTGCAACAAGTTCGTATGTGGGAATCATTTGAAGATTCTGTGTTTGTCCTGTGCAGAAAATACAATTTAAAAGTTATTTCCTACTAAAAATTATTTTGTAATCTCAATTAGATCGTTTCACGTGATTTTTGTAACAGTTTACACATTTTTTATGTTTTTGTTAATTATTAGTAACACAGAGGTTGTTATAAGGTTTTGTTAATTAAATTTTGTAAAGGAAACTGTAGTAATTATATTTTCATTTGATTCATACAAAAATTATGCTTATTTCATTTTTTATTTCAATTTGTAAATGGACTACCTACGTATGCCGCGCGACCACTTGCGTGACTTTGCGTTTATTACGTACGTCCAGTCTACTCATCGTCTTTCGTCGTGAGTTGTGTATAACTTTGGTGTGACATACAGCAAGATTGACTGTGAATATCGCGCTTTACGCATTTACACACATGTGTATAGACATATTATATACATGTGTTGAACATAGACAATTGAGTTATATTTTTTATCTCAGTGTAGGACACATGGACAAATTATCAGTAGGGCAGGTGCCTGAAGTACACTATTTTACATCCTCCATCTACGATTTCAAAACATCATCATCTGTAACGTAAACTCATAGATCATATTTCTAATAAAAGTCGTATTTATCTATAAATCCGTGTAGTACAGTTGACTAGTGTATTATAATTTTTTTTATATTACAGCAAAATAATAATAGAGCTATCACGTCGCATAAAATAAGATCTTTTCGTTTGATTGGTGAACTGCGCTCATCGGTGTTGGAAGTTAACTCGAGTTGCATTCAGATCAATTTAATTCCAGTCGGATACTCAATAATGTATTTAATGAAATCTTGAATTCAGGCTGGCGGTAATTGTACGAAATGAACGAGCAAGCGAAATAGCGAGAGCGTGATTCGTTCGACATGTGTATATCTAATAGCGGCATCGGATATAAGAGCAGCAATAAGTTATTTAACAAAGGGGGCCGAGGCGGGAAACTAGCAAAGTACTGACGACTTCGATAGCGAGATTTAGGATTCGTTTACGCTTTTGGCGCAACGAATGCACCAGTGGTCAATGACACTGGAGGTTACGGGGAAATGCGTATGACCCACTAGTCGCTCGGGATTACATCTGTTGTAATGAAAAAGATGTTTGTCTCAATTGTCTCAATCCATCAATTCTCTATTTGCTAAAACACATTTCTTATCATTTATCATGTTCGACATACAAATTATCATTAGAGTAAAGGATGGTAATTCGGAATACTGCTGGTATTTTGGAATACTGCATTATAAAAATAAGGAAAAGCGCCATCTAATAACGAATGCCTGTATTACGTAGTCCGTGTACTAACAAACAAAGAGGGCGTGACTGAGAAGCAGCCATATTGACAGCGCCGTGACAAACTGCATCGGAGTGAAAGTGCTGTCGAGAAAATTTTTCAAGTAAGTAATAAATCGGCTTGCATCTTGAGTTTAACTTATATTTACATGTTTGTATTTGTACAAATCTATAGTTTTCGTGTATCAGTTGTAGAAATCATGGCTTATTTTCGAAATTATTCTAAACACACATTGATAAAAATATTTTAGGTTAAAAATGGTTCTTTTGCTAATTTGGAATACTATAGGTGAAGTCAATTTGGAATATTCCAAATTATGTGCACATTAGTTTGCCTTCTTGTTTCTACTTCTGATTGAAAGGATTCTTTTTAGGTATTTATTATTTATTCAAATAGTCTGTCTTTTTGATCAATATTATTTAATTTTGTTTTAGTAATGTCTTCGACCACTGCTAACTCTGCCAGTAAATATAAAAAGCGTAAGAAGTGGAGTCAAAATGATATGGCTGCTGCAATATTAGCAGTTCGAGACAAGAAAATGGGCTATTTAAAGGCAGCAAAAACTTATAATGTACCCAGAACCACCTTATTTCGACTTGTTCAAGAAAATGAGTTTGTTAGAAGATACTCTGACCAAAAAGATAGGTCGCAGACCAGTATTTAATAAGGTTTTTGAGGAAATGTTGGTGAAATATGCCCTTGTTATGGAACAAAAATTATATGGTTTGACTCGAATGGATATGAGAAGGATAGCATATCAACTTGCTGTTAAAAATAATGTGCCCCATCCATTCCATGACGACAGAGCTGGCAGATACTGGCTCAAAGGATTTCTTGCGAGGCACAAGCAAACTTTATCAATACGCAAGCCCACTGGAACATCTTTTGCTAGAGCCAATGGATTTACAAAAGCAAGAATGGACGAGTTTTATCAAAATCTTGAGAAAGTTTATGACGAAAAAAAGTTCACGGCTAGTAGGATTTTTAATGTTGACGAAACAGGACTGTCAATTGTACAAAGCAAATATCCCAAAGTGATTGGTCGCCGAGGAAAAAAGCAAATTGGAGCTATGTCGTCTGCTGAAAGGGGAACTCTCATAACAGTGGTGACCTGTATGAGTCCAGCTGGTATATTTGTACCGCCAATGATGATTTTCCCGCGCAAAAATAATAGCGACCTATTAAAGAAAGGCTCTCCTGAGGGTTCTATTATCCGAGAACATCCTTCTGGCTGGATACAAACACATTTATTCACGCAGTGGTTTGAACATTTTATCGATTATGTAAAGCCGTCCGAATCCTCACCAGTTCTCCTCTTATTTGACGGTCATTTCAGCCACACAAAGAATATCAAGCTCATAGATAAAGCTAGACAGAATCATGTGACTTTGATTTCACTGCCGCCACATTGCACACATAAGATCCAGCCCATGGATAAAGCATTCATGGGGCCATAAAAAGTTACTACAGTGAAGAAATTCGTATGTGGTTGCGCGAAAACAATAGACCACTTACTGCCTACGATATTTCAGAGTTATTTGGCAAAGCTTAGCTAAAATGCCAGACTGGTGAAATTGCAGCAAATGGCTTTAGAGTTGGTGGCATTTATCCATTAAATACAAATATTTTCACGGAATCTGACTATCTCGCAGCAGCACAAGAATCAGCGGATGGCATTGCTGAAAACGAACAAGAAGCACGTAGTCCTATCGCTGCAAGTCCACAAGTCATAAATGAAGCTGGAAATCATTCACCAACCCTATTACAAGGTTTCGATGACAGTCATGTTGATGTTTCGTCAGATAGCAGACAACAGTCAAATGAAATTGTGTCGGAAACAGATCCTCCATCAGTAAACCTTCCTGATATTGCCATGCGAGAAGAACAAGAAAAAGAAAATCTTCCTGGACCTTCTCGTAGTAACCCCATTGTGACACCGTTTCAAATCTCACCAGTTCCTACTTCCAAATATCGGTCATCAAATCGAGGTCGTAAGCCAGGTAAATCTGAAATAATTTCTAGCTCACCCTACAAAAAGCAATTGGAAGAAGCAATAAACAAAAAAAAACTGAAAAAACCATTTGAAAATGAGTATAAAAATAGAAACAAAGAAAAGAAAACGAAGAGAAATTTAAAAGGAAAAGGGAAAGGAAAGGGAAAAGGGAAAAGTTCCAAATCGACCAAAAGAAAGATATTTCCAGAAAAAAGACACGAGTATGATAGTGATGATACATTCGCATCTGATCTGAATCACAAGAAGATATACCCTCTTATGCTAATGTGAGACAACCTACAGGAAATGACTGTATTTGTTTTTTCTGTAATGGAAAATTTACCGAAGATCAAAGGGGAGAACAATGGGTGTAATGCTTCACATGCGAAGGCTGGGTGCACAGCGAATGTGCTGGTTATGATTCGGGTTGCTATGTTTGTGATTACTGCAAAGACTAGAGAAAAGCAAAAAAGTAGAATTGATTTAGAAATAAGCATTGATATAGTTTTTTAATTTAAGTGATCTCAGTATCTTGTATCTACATGATTTAGGCCAATTAAATGGTTAATTAAAGTTAATTATTTAGGTGATTGTAATTTGGAATACCCTATTCCAAATTTGATTCACTTTATCTAAACTACGCCAATCTGTGACTCTATGACTAAACCAAAAAAATTCCTACTTAAAATAAGCCAAGGTTTTCAATTATTTTTTATTTCATTAAAAGATAAGTTTTTCTAACACTGAATGCAGTTTTTATTCTTAAAACTCTCAACCCATGACTGATACGATTTTTTTAGAAAGTGGTATTCCAAATTTGCATCCTTTACTCTACCTTTTTTTATTTATTTCTTTAGTACTTATTCTATAACTATAATATTCAAAATGTATGCATCCACTATTTCGGTGGCACAGATTGTAGGCAGAATAAGAATGTTGGGAATTACCTAAAGAAGTCCAAGGTTATGGTTTTACTGGCCTCGAAGAACGTCGACGCCGATATCTCACATCGTTTTCTGAAATTTCTGTATTGAGGCTGGGTCAAGAGGTACCATGAAATGATCCTATATAGCCTTTGGAAGTTTCGTGAGCATTTCACTGATATCGCCCCCTGAGTAATAAAAGTGGCCTCTACTTTAAAACAGCTAGCCAACTTTGATGGTTATGTTTGGATGCGAGAGACCGTATTATGACCTGTTTTAATTTTTTGAACAGATTAGCTATATCGCAGAGAGAAAATATAATAAGCCTACCTCCACCCCACAAAATTGAGAACTAGGCAGTGGCAATGGTGTTGTTCAGCCGTCGTAGGTATATATATATGTGAGGCCTCGTGGTGGCGCGCACGGTCTTCCATGCACTTGAATATGAAAATGGGTGGAGACTATCAGCCTCAATTCCTGAATAGGAAGAAGTCCGTTGTTGGCTCCTCCGTCGCAGCTTCAATCATATGCGATAATCCTTCTACCGTAGCCTAGCTTAAGACTTCCGCGGTAGACTACCCATGAATAAGTGGCATATGGACATCAAACATAGAATTAGAACAATTAAATGTAACGAAACAAAAAAAATTAACGAAACAGTTGTTCAAAAAAACTTCACTAGTTTAATTGATACACCAGAGCTTGACATGCTGGTCCTAAAATCTACTACAGAACAGGAAGTAAAAGTTATTATTGATAATATAAAGACCAATGCAGAGGGACACGATGGCATTAGTATAGGGATGATTAATCTGACTCTAGATGTGACTCTTCCTATTATTACGAGGATACTGAATAACTCAATTGAAACAAATACTTTTCCATCATGTTGGAAAAGAGCACTGGTAAGGCCCATACCTAAAAAAAATCTCCTACCGAAATAAAAGACTTGCGTCCTATTTCGATTTTGCCAGTACTATCTAAAGTTTTAGAAAAAGTAGTGTTAAATCAAGTGCTGAACTACTTAGAAACCAAAGATATAATACCTAAATTTCAGTCGGGCTTTCGCAGGGGTCATGGTACAGAAACTGCACTTTTACATATTACAGACGACCTGACCGAGGCTTTGGATATGGGGATGAGTAGTATAATGGTATTACTTGATTATTCTCCAGCATTTGACTGTTTGCAAACTGAACCCACCCGATCCCTAAAAAAGGCGACCGCTCAGACCCGTCCAACTACCGGCCTATCGCCATCACCTCCTTGTTCTCCAAAACAATGGAGTCCATTCTAAACTGCCAGCTCATGAGAGGATCACCAGCTGATTAGTGACCGCCAATACGGTTTTCGCCGTGGTAGGTCAGCTGGTGATCTTCTGGTCTACCTAACTCACAGATGGGCGGAGGCAGTAGGGTCCAAGGGGGGAGGCATTGGCCGTTAGTTTGGACATTGCGAAGGCCTTCGATCGGGTTTGGCACAAAGCGCTTCTTTCGAAGCTCCCTTCCTATGGGCTTCCCGAGAAATTGTGCGATTGGATCACCAGTTTTCTTGCAGATCGGAGCATCAAGGTCGTTGTAGACGGTGCAAGCTCCGATTGCAAGCTTATTAATGCTGGTGTTCCACAGGGCTGCGTGCTATCGCCAACGCTGTTTCTTCTGCATATCAATGATATGTTGCAAACCCGTAGCATTCATTGCTATGCAGATGACAGCACTGGTGATGCTCTTTACACCGGCCGAGCCAATATTTCTCGGGAAAACGTCTCTGAGTGCCGGGACAAACTTGTGTCTGAAGTCGAGTCTCTGCTGGACAGAGTCTCGGATTTGGGGCGACTAAATCTAGTCCAGTTTAACTCCCAGAAGACACAAGTTTGCGCGTTAACCGCTAAAAAGAACCCCTTTGTCATATCCCCTCAGTTTCAAGGCACTCCCCCTTGTTGCCTCAGCCAGTATCGGAATCCTCGGCGTCGACATATCGAGTGACGTGCAGTTTCGTGGTCACTTGGAAGGGAAGGCCAAATTGGCCTCTAAAAAGCTTGGCGTGCTCAGCAGAGCGGGACAGTATTTCATGCCGGAACACCGCCTGCAACTTTACAAGGCGCAGGTTCGGCCGCTCATGGAATACTGTTCCCATTCCTGGGCTGGGGCTCCCCAGTACCAGCTCCTTCCACTTGACCGCATCCAGCGCAGAGCGGCTCGAATCGTCGACGACCGAGTGCTTTCCGATCGGCTCGATTCACTGGCGCTGCGAAGAGATGTTGCATCTCTTTGCGTATTTTATCGCATCTATCACGGGGAGTGCTCTGAGGAATTGTTCGGATTAATCCCAGCCGCCAAATTTCGTGAACGCACTACACGGCAAACGTCCCGATACCATCCACACCATCTGGATGCTTGGCGGTCCACCACTGTACGTTTCAAAAGGAGTTTTCTTCCGCGTACAACCTCTCTGTGGAATAATTTACCACCGGTGATTTTTCCGGACCGATACGACCTGGGGACCTTCAAGAAAAGAGCTTACTCCTTTCTAAAGGGCCGGCAACACACCTGCAATTCCCCTGGTGTTGCGGTTGATCATGGGCGGCGGTAGTCACTTAACATCAGGTGAGCCACATGCTCGTTTGCCCTCTCTTCTATAAAAAAAAAAAGAACTACTTTTAGATAAGCTAAGTTGCTATGGATTCTCAAAGAATACATGTCTGGTTTCACAGTTTCCTCGCTAATAGAGAACAATTGGTAGAAACTGACGACAAATACGGAGAAAAAAGACGGTCGTGTCTCAGGTCAGTTCAGCGCGGCGTGCCTCAAGGCTCTCTACTTAGTCCAGTCCTATTTACAATTTTTACAGCAGATCTACCTAGGCATATAAAGTTTTTTAAATATCACTTATATGCTGATGATACACAACTGTACTACTCGTTTCACAGTAAAGACGCTCGAGAAGCTATTGAGAAAGTTAATGATGACCTGAGAAGTATCCACAAATGGTCTGAAAATAACTCTTTGGTTCTCAATGCAGCTAAATCTCAAATGTTGGTCTTAGGCACTAAACGCCAAATAAAAAATGTATTAGACGTTGGAGAAAAAGTAAAAATAAATAATGTTATTCTGGAATAAGTAACCTCTGCCCGTAATCTCGGCCTGATTTTAGATGGGGAACAAAAATTTATTGATCACGTTAATAACAAAATAAGGACAGCATTTTTCAAGCTGAAAACGCTCTACAAAATCAGACCATATCTTAAGGAGGATTTACGGATACTTTTATGTGATACTCTGGTACTATCTCAATTTAATTTGGTCCAAGACTAAAGTTTAACACAGAGAGGGCAATACAAAGAGTGCAAAATGCCTGTGTTCGTTTTTGCTTTAATGTGCCCAAAAGAGAATCTATTACCCCGTACTTGAATAAAAAGTGCTTACTTAACATGAGTGCTAGAAGGGAGCTTCAGTACGCTTGTACAGTGCATAGGGTAATATGGAACAAAAAGCCTGAGTACTTATTTGGAAAACTCCTATGGATCAAAGACATTTCACACAGAAGCCTTCGTACGAACTCGTTAAACATGTTAAGTATGCCAAAACATAAAACAACGCGGTACAGAGGATGTTTCAAATTTGTTGCAGCAAGGATATGGAACGATTTGCCCCCTCCTATGAGAAATAAAATTAGTACAGAAAGCTTCAAAGCTAAATATAAATCAGCATTGCTGAAGCGGCAAATTGCTGCAGAAAACTTTAAACATAACTACTGGAAATACATAAACTTAAGAGACTTTTTACACTTTACATTATGATATTATAACCCTTATAAAACATCTCCGTGTATTATAAACTGAACAATCACGCGCACACGCACACACACACACACACACACACACACACACACACACACACACACACACACACACACACACACACACACACACACCCACCCACACAAGCACACACACAACGCGCGCGCGCGCAAATGCAAGAATTATTAATTAATAATTATGAAATTTCACAACTATACCATGTTAAATTCCAATGATAGATGAGTAAATGAAAGAGGTGATTGGGGAACTTGAAATTCTCATAACACCCGTGTAACATCTCAGGGAAGAAGGGGTGCCTGAAAACCAGTGCTTCATGGGATCTAGTTCCATTTAAGCAAAAGCTGAATCACCTCCGTTTGTCTAAATTAAGATTAAATATTTAGTTTATATGTAAACATGTTTTTTTTAAAATGGCAATAAAATCATATTTATTTAAATTTTTGACGACTCCGTGGCGTAGTGGCTTAGCAATTAGTTGCAGTGCTGAGGGCCGAGGGTTCGAATCCACACGAAATAAGAATATGTATCGCCTACAAATAAATTTTCCGGGTCTGAATAAAATTTATGAAAAAATATAAGGCCTTCGTTTAATTTTAAAAGAAATGAGGGTTCCTCTATTTTTTACAATTTTTTGATATTGGTCTTAAACCTTGTTAACAGCTGATTCAATAACTGTATATTCTCGGCGCAAAACGTGGCCGACGACCCCGCAGTATGTCGACCCTGCTCGTTACCAATACAATACGCTAATTAACATATATGTTTGAATTCATGCATTTACATAAATACAATGCAATGTTTGTCACCGCATTACAATTGAGACGGCTGCCAGGGACAACAGATGGCGGAAAACACACACGAACGCCAGTCACCCAGTTTCGTCAGCGACTACC